TTATCAAGGCCTTCACGTAATTATCTACATATTTCGTCACTAATTTCGATTAGTCATGGATCCAGCTCAAAACCCGCCAGATTCCTCGATAGAAAATAGCATCGCAAATACCAAGTCTCACGCATTCCTAACAGTTTAGGAATTTAAGACTAATCTAGCAACGGCTAGTTTGGGAATTTAAGACTAATCTAGCAACGGCTACATGCCGTAAAACTCGTAGTCGTTGCTTCAGGAACATGAATATTGTAAGGCAATGTATTCCATAAGACCAGAGCAGAAAATGACAAAGATCATTTTTGTAAATTCAAGATTAATTGATGGTTGATGGAGAAATTGTTTATCTGTGGATATAAATCATATTGCCCACCTGATGAGTTAACGTGTCTGGCTTTTGTCCGACATTAACCCAACTTAAAGGGGGCTTATGTTAAGCTTACAACTGAAAGCAACTGGCGTTTCAGCAACTGGGAGCATCTGAATGCAAATCAAAAAGGTCGACCTGCGCGCTGGCAAATAGACAGATGGTCATTGCACATTTTCCCTTCCATGTTTACCTGTAACTACAATAGGGACCGAAGAATGTTCTAGGTTGATAATTTAGAACATTAAAAATAGCTGTAATACCATCTTGGCATAGATGTTCGTGGATACGAATAAATATAGTTCAGACTATGTGGACTTAAGTTACGGTACGTTACATCACGACCGCTGTGTATTCAGCTTAGACTGTTTTGAGCTTTTGCGCCCCTAGCAAAAAATCACGCGGTTTCAATGCCGATTTTAATATTATAATCATAATGTCCAACATATACCGCGGGTCAGATATGCTACAAATCGACTAAAGCATGTTCCACACACCCAGTGGCACTGGGAGGGACTGCCACCCCCCCCCCCCCCACCTTCGCACACACATATAAATATTGTTTTTTCGGGGGCGATCCATTGAAAATGAAGCAGTCTACATCAATCATGGCTGCCTCAAAAAGTACGCACGACTATTCTTAAATCTATAGGCTTGTTCGAATCCCCATTATTGTATGCCAGGTTGATTGTTGTTCGAGATTTGGTTTTCGTTGTATTTCTCTGATGAAATGTAAATGTAGACTAATTTTAAACAAAAATACATTTTACAAATCTGATATGACAAATGTCTGATTTGTAAAACAAATATTGATTTTAGGAAAAAATTGTTAAGTTTAGTGTACAAATGTCGAAATAAGACAACAAATGTCGAAATAAGACAACAAATGAAGAAATAAGAATTAAGGACTATGAATTAAGAACTAAGAATTAAGAACACTGAATAAAGAGGTATTTGTTCTTCCATATATATCACCTAAGCTTCCTAGTTTAATCTCTTAACTCTCATTTTATGTCACGCCTAAACACAATCTGATTAAAACACAGATCCTATTTCGTTTCGTTTTTTATAGTTCAAAATTTCGTTTTACTTGTTTTCACAACACTAGGATTTTCGAGGAGGTGTTATATAACAGGAGTTCTAGTTGATGTGAAGTATTAGCCAATGAAACGGTCTGTTACGGCGAGTTCTTGATCTGCTCAGCACGGAACTGTCAACGCTGATTGACAAACCAATGTCTGACGTCATAGGGTCAAAAGCCGCTCGGATGACCCCTGACGCGACCCCTCTAGTACAACTGGTCAGATCCTCATGTAATGTAGGCCACCGAAAGTATAAAAAAACGAAACGAAATATAGATCTGTATTTTAAACAGATTGGTCTAAATAAGAAAGAAAGACATTAAAATTAAGTAGAACGAAAAATTAAAAGTTCAATAAACAGCTGAAATATCTTGAATTAGCCTAGGTGAGAGAGAGAGAGAGAAATGGGGTTTAACGTCCACTCGACACAAACTAGGTCATTTCGGGACTAACATATGGTTTAATTTTATTTCAATAATTCGCTTGCGCGTAGGGGTCTTTAGCAGTGGGAGGAAACCGGAGGACCCGGAGAAAACCCACGAGGTTGAACAGGCGACCCTACTCCTTGTCACGTACAACCGGGGATTCGAAACCACGCCAGTCGACTCAATGACAGACTTTCTGGTACAGCGCGCGCACGCTAACCATTCAACCATGCAACCCCCGAATTAGCCTAGGTTTAATAAAGCCGGATATGTTTTATATCCAACCAACAATTGTTTCCGAATAAATGGCAACTGTGTTTTTTTTCTGTAATATGGAATAATGTGAAGGTTATTATTTAATATTACAGGTATACTGAATGATCTATAATCGCCAACTATTAAATACAATTATTTAATAAGCTGTCAGCTATTTTCATCAAACATCCAATCCAACTCCATTAAAATGTTTCTAAAGGGTTGCTCATGTCCGGTTGTATTGTAAAGTCAAAGCGACCTGTGCACTTTCAAATTAAATGGCGACGCGATCACCCACGCTGCAGAAAATACACGCAGATGAATGTGAGCATAAATTGATACGCTTCCTGTTCAAAATAAATAAATATATTGTTGTGGCGAAACAGCTTTCACGAATCATATTATTTTTCTTACAATCCAAAACAAGCAAGATCCCCACTTTTTCTGATGTAACTGTGGCAAAGTTTCCGATCGTTTTCTCGGCGCCTATTTGGTCTAAAGGTGCTGTCTATATATATTTTAATCTGATTAAAACGCATATCCTATTTCGTTTCGTTTTTTATAATTCAAAATATCGTTTTACTTGTCCTTATTACACTAAGATCTGAAAGAGTTTTTATATAACCCGCGTTCTTGGTGGCGTGAGGGATTAGCCAATGAAACCATCTGTTATGGCGACTTCTTGGTGTGCCATGCACGGAACAGTGGGTAAACCACTCGTAACGTCAACGCTGACTGATTAATCAATGTCTGACGTCATGGGCCCAAAAGCCGTTCATACGACTTCTGACGCGACCGTTTACTACAACTGGTCAGATCTTCATGCAGTAGAGGCCATCGAAAGTATAAAAAAAACCGAATCGAAATATAGGTCTGTATTTTAATCAGATTGTATATGTTTATGTGTGGTTTGTTATGTGTAGGTTTTACTGTACAGTTTACATGTATTATTTAATAAATAAAAGAAGCCAAATGAAAGTACGATTCAAAATCAATTTCATAAATTATGACGCGTGCGCATCTTTGTTCCTCGTGTCCTCTTCGACAACAACAAATACTGGTCTGCACAAAATAACTTTGAATTTTATACAGTGTCAAACGTTAAATAGATATCCTCAATGTCCGATCATTGGCTAAAATTGCCAAATGACCTTCACTTTGCATTTCCTGATTTGGGACATCATTTCTTATGCCAGAATGTCCAGTCTATAGTCATTATAGTTGTATATAGAATAGTAATATTATGGATTATATAAAACTCTGAAATAGGTTTCGAACAAGGTTGCACTGGCATTCTCAGTGCAAGGAAACCGGAAGACCAGGAGCAAACCCACGAAGTTGGACAGGTGATCCTACTTCTTGTCATGTACCAGCAGGGAATCGAAACTACGCCACACGACACAATGACAGTTCTTATGATCCAAAGCGTACGTGTTAAATAATTTTGCACCCCCCCCCCCCCCGACCATTGTTGTGCATTGACCTCATCTGTGGATTATGGAACTAAGGTTACATGTGAAAGAAGGTTATAAAGTGATGAAATAGCATCAATGTCGAAGAGTTTCATTTCAGGTAATTAACGGAAGAGTATAGGGCCTGCTTCTCACCCCCACCCCCCTCAGTGAGTGTGCAACGACCTCATCAATCTGTTTCACAGAGATCTCCTAATATCTCTGAAACAGATAACGCGGCGTCAATCATTGGCTCAATAGCGCGTGCATTGTTTACATAAGACGTTACTGATTCGGGCTAAATGGTCAATTTTACTTATTTTAATACCTATTTACACTAAATAGGAAATGATTTTTACCAACAAGCAATTCAAACGTCTTTATTTTTTTTTCTAATAAATGAAAATATGTTTTAGAATTTAATTTGACGGAAAAAAAAGGTTAATATTTGGGACTCATTTAGTCGCATCGATGTCATCCTTATCAGTGATTGTCGCGGCCTAGCGAAAATTCACTTCTGATCAGTGTGCGACCGCATCTGTAGATTATGGGAGTAACGTTGCACGTGGAAGAAGGTTACAGTACCAATGTCGAAGAGCTTCATTTTAGGTAATTGATGAGATAGTATAAGGCCTGATTCTCAAAACCTTAAACTGAAATATATTTTAAGGATTCAGAACTTTCATTGGCAGAGAGTTGGTTCCTAACCAATGAAAAGGTTGCTTTCTTAAAGTTAAAGTAAGCATGAGTAAATCCCAATACTTTTACAGATAATCTGCGTGTACAGTCGAACTTTATCTTGGCCTTCTCCACGCTACACTTCATAAAAGCCGGTTTGTTTTCATCGTGAAGTCAAAATTTCATTGGCTGCAGACCGGAAGTACCATTGCTGGTTGTTAATGGACCTATGCTAGTAATTTACATCCCAATGACTTCAATGTTAAATCCAAGACATTTCTGGAACTATTACATTTTACGAACATTCCCCGTGATCTTAATCTTATAACCATAAACAACACAATTAATTGTGTTCCGGTAAAAATTGTCCAGATAAAACATACATTATGCAAGAGGTAAATCTGCCTATTGCAGGTCTTTCTTTAGGCCTTAAATGTTATCTAAATTATTAATTAGACATTAATTAACTCATCCAGACCATAATCAACCCTCGATGGCATCGCTAGCCTGCGATACTTACTGGATTTGAATACATTTTGTGATGGATGATTTAACTTCAAAATGGATAATCGAGACTTTGTGAAGCAATTTGACTGAAATTTTTAGCATATTCTCTATATGCTATCCATTTTTAAACTATTATAACGAGAACTGTCAGCTCTGTATCTAATCTTACATAATGCTCCTTTAATGGACTTCTGGACGGCTGAAGTTTGGAATATTGACGTAACTTATTATATTTACTTACCAATATTGTTGTGACCACTAGACTTTTATTACCAAATGGATTAGAATTACTGTTTATACCAAAATCTGTAAAATTAACACCTGTATCATATCGCCACGTACCAGCCTAAAAAAACAGAATTATTGAAAATAATAACATTAAAAACACATATATTGACAGACATATTTCACACATTTTAGGTTCGACTGAAGTTTTATTTAGATCACATTGGAAGTAATTTTTCTGATGCGTTTTATCCGGGTCATCACGTGTCAACTTGTAAAAAATGCCAATAGTCAAAATAACAACGTTATTTAATATACATTCACAGGAATATCAGTGAAGCGTTTTAACCGGGTTATATAACTCTGGTATCCGACTGAAATTATAAATACTCATTTTCACTGTAATACTTGGATTCGGAATCCGGTTTGACTTGTTCCAAAGGTCTGTCGTAGCAAACGTGTTGATCGTTTCGTATTCGTATCGAAACATATCCGAACGTATCTGGAAGCACCGGGTCGTGGACTCAATTGGGACAATTCTATGGTAACAAATCGCACGAGATTGGGAACCTAGCATTTACATATAGATGCTACAGAAGATAAGATCATTTAATACCGCCTATACTCATTCTAAATATATAGTGCACTTCAATAATTCTAATTTTATAAAAATAAGGTTCATTGGCTTACCTTTTCTAAACCAGATTGTTTTAGTTGTAAAATATCTAACTGGAAGTCATATCTACGACCTTTATGTAGTTTTATGTTACCAGTCATACCGCGCATTGAAACCTATAATAAAAAAGAGATATTTTTTATATAAAAAAAAGAAACGAACAAGAAAACAAAAGCAACAACTTATAGAGAGAGAGAAAAAGGATTTGACGTCCACTCGCCACAAACTAGGTCATTTCGGGTAAAAAATATGGTTCAATTATATTTCAATAATTTGATTGCGTGTAGGTGGTCTTTAGCAGTGGTAAGAAACGTCGAAAACCCACGAGGTTGGGCAGGCTATCCTACTTCATGTCATGTACAAGTGGGAATCGAAACCACGTCACTTGACTCAATAACAGACCTTGTGATTTCACGTACACCCGTTAAACAACTAGACCCCCCCCCCCTTAAATTCAGTGATACTAACTGATGGAAACTCAGTTTTATTGTATATAGTGGCATGATTTTATGCGCACGCGTTACACAAAAAGACTCCGCCCCCCCCCCCCCCCTCTCCCAACGAATAATAATATATAAAACTAAAGACACTACACAACACTCACCTGAGTAAGATATGTATATAAATTCGGTCCTGAGGACCAGGGTTGGGGTGTATCACAGCTAACATTTACGGGCCGTAATACGGCACCACGATCATACGCTTCCAGCGCATGCGCTAATAAAAATACTGCATCGAAGATCAGCGCAACTTCGTGCTGAAAAAAAGAGACAATATCAAATAGTTAAACATATAAGTAAAAATCTTTTCGGGATTGTCGTTTGTTTGTTTGTCTGTCTGTTCCGGGTTGACTGCTACACTAGGGCTGTCCCGGGGTTGGCATTTGGTGTATAAGGGATAGCTCGGACCGGGGAGTAACATAGGCTTGGTGGCCATGGACTATCACTTCCGGTTTCGGAGTTATGCAACTTCCGGTTCATGGCTATACCCGTGCTATGCCGAGTCAACCGCTAGTGTTTGTTAATATTCTACTGGACGTGTTCGAGGGGGTGGGGTCGTTTTGTAGTTTAAAATATCCTTTTACTTATCTTCACTAGTAGGATCTGGAAGAGTTGTAAAATAACCCGTCAGAACATCATTTAGTGCAGGCCAACGAAAGTATACAAAACGATGAACATAATAAAGATGTTAAAAAAGAGTGTTATTGTAGCGAGACATAACACACTAGGTCATTTCGGGATTAACATACGGTTCAATTTTATTTCAATAATGCGCATGCGCGTGAGGGTTTTAGCCGTTAGAGGAAACCGGAGGACCCGAAGAAAACCCACGAGTTTGGACAGGCGACCCTACTCCTTGTCGCGTACAACAGGGGAATCGAAACCACGACAGTTGACTCAATGACAGACCATATGATACAGCGCTAACTATTCGGCCACCCCCCCCCCCTGCCACTTTAAGGAGAGAGCGAAATGGGGGTTAACGTCAACTCGACATAAACCATTTCATTATGTCATTTTGGGACTAACATATGTTTCAATTTCATTTCAATAACTCGCTTAATCAATGTCGCGTGCACGGGGTAATCGAAACCAAGTCAGTTGACTCAATCACAGAAACGCGCACGCGCTAACTATTCGACCATCCAACTCCCCCTGGTGATTAGAGACTTTAATGTTGCGAACTGAGCAGATTGTTATCTAAATAGTTTGTCTTTTGTGTCCATCAGCCGTTAAGATGGTATATATACTATATTTTATAGCACTAATGGAGGACAATATCTTTCTCCATATCTCACCCACTATGACTAACTATCCATATTACTGTAATATTCACAGCCCGAATCGCAATCCACGTGATTTATAAGCCAATATCTTCAACTAAATAACATCTCATTTATTTTAGATCAATCCGCGACAAGAAATATTTCCCTCTCTAACCTTTTCTACGCGTGATATATAAATAATGAAAATTGGTTTCTGTCTTGAGAATTGCCCAGTTTTATTTCCTGGAGATCAAAATCAAAGCCGACACGCTCTGGAATCAGGTTAATCACGATTATTATAGATATTGCAATAAAACGACCTCTATATAAGAAATAAAATAACAGATTCTATGAATATGTATGTCCGGCGTGGTTCTCCCTTGTCAGTGATGCAGGGCGGAGGGGCTGACAAGGAAAGGTGTCTAGTCGTTCGGATGGGACGAAAAACCGAGGTCCCGTGTACACATTGGCGTGCACGTAAAAGATCCCTTAGCAGTTGGAATTCGATATAAGAGTAGGCCGTAGTGCCGCTGTCCGGGCAAAATTTCCCTCATAGAACACTGTATAGTGTATGCCCGTCTTCATTAGCCCAGGTTAGGAGCAGAATAGTAGGACGTTAAACTCCATTTCATTTCATTTCATAAATATGTAAGGTTAATCATTTCGGATCAATGGGGTGGTGCGGGGTGGTGCGGGCGGGGCCGTGGGTGTCATTTTAAGGCCAGTATCTTTCCAGCAAAATCTAATTCTACCTGTTCCTATGCTACCGACACTTCATTTGGAAATGAAATGAAATGGGGGTTTAACATCCTACTGTTCTGCTCCTATACTGGGCTAATAAAGATGGGCATACACCATACAATGTGTTATGAGGGCAATTTTGCCCGGGCAGCGGCAATATGGCCTACTCTTATAAAGAATTCCAACTGTCAGGGGATCTTTTACGTGTACGCCAATGTATACACATCCGGATGACTAAACAGCTTTCCTTGTCAGGCCCTCCGTCTTGTAGCACTGACAGCGGGAACCACGTCGGAAAATCCCCATGAACTTTCTCGGCCAATGCAAGGATCAAACACGTGACCTTCAAGCCAGCGAGCTAGCATCTTACCCACTTAGCCACCGTAGTTCATGTGGAAGTTGCGTTCACCTATAACACGTGACAACGCCGACACGCTTTCGATTTAGTTTAATCGGGGCTATAAACAGATTATGTGGTCAGAGAGAGAGAGAGAGAGAGAGAGAGAGAGAGGTCCACTCCACTCAAACTAGGTCATTTCGGGACTAACATATGGTTCAATTTTATTTCAATGATTCGCTGAAAGGGGAGGGTGGGAGTGCATGTAATCAGGGCTGTACCCTTCCCACAAGAGTCAGTTCAATCTTTCTAACTTGTCAACAGTTTATTGGGGCATTTACAAGAGTTTTAGAGTCTTGGTTAATCGGGACTATAAAACGACGCCGACGTAACGAACCCAATCGGCAAGTATGACAATCGTTTTTCAAACTGTTCAAATGGGGTCATTTAAAACACCGAGTGCACATAACCCACGCGACAACGACTGGATCCATATTCTTCATAGATTTGCTCCAGGAACTGGCTCCTGGAAACGGGAGAAAAAAAGTCAGAATGAGTTTCCTACCAGTAAAGGTTTGACCCCGGTAGACAGAAGTTGTTGAACAAATTTATTGTTGTATCATGACATTATCTTGAATAATTAATTTAAAGTAGATTGTCATTGTCACCTTATTTCAGAAAGTGATGCAATATTTACAACATGGCGGGTATAAAACATCTGTCGATGGATGTCGTTAATTATAACCATTAAAACATTTCACCGACGGCTGTCGTAAAAACATTCTGAATACTATGATTAACCGAGGAAAGGGAATAATTTAATATTTAGTAATACTTATTGTACTCAGCGAGCCAGAAAATGTTTTATCTTAAAGGAAACGACTCTCTTTGATTCGGGTGTTAAAGCTACAATTTCATATTTTTAAGTTATATTTTTAAAATTTATTAAAATAAAGCCTTAAAATAGATGGTATCCATAAACAGTCCTACCTTGTTAAAGAATAATCCTATTAATCATATAAGTCACTATTGCCAGCTGAGAAATTGGCAAAAATATTATTTTCACCTTCAAATTCACACGTTTGAACATAGCTATTCCATGGAGGTAATAGGAAAACAAGGGAGGTAATTGTTTTGTTATTTCCTGTGTCAATGATTTTTAAGGGTGGGAAATAATGCCCATGGTCGTATAATAGTGAGTTGATAACCTATTGAGCAAAAGACATAGAAATAATTATGTTTTGACTTTCTTAGAAAATATGAAATTTCCGCTTTAAATTGGTCTTATCTGATGTTATTTCAATTAGCATACGCTAAGGAGGGAGAGAAATGTGGTTTCACGTTCAATTTGATTTTAATAATTGGTTTGCGCTTAGGAGACTTTAGCTAGTGGGGGAAACCGACCCTAATCCCTGTCACGCGACAGGCCATTCGGACACCCGAGCGCCCTAGTGATAAGGAGAGTTCTACACAGTTAAATGTAGTTTTTTTTTAAAAAAATAAGACGAACCAGGTTTGCTTAGAAACTTCAGATTAATTTTTGGTTTACTATGTCGACAGTGAAACATAAAATCTGTCACTTATTAAAACCCCAACAAATCAACGTTTTCGACCAAAACCCATTTTGAAGTGGCATTATGGGAGATTAGATAAAGAGTTGACTGCTGTTCTCGGTATAATGGTTAACAAATAGATTACCTAAATAGAATATGCTAAAAATTCCAGTCAAATTTCTCCACTCTGAACCAAGATATTAGCTTTCGAATTTTTGGCTAGCCTCGATCATTATTACTAAAGTCTCGATTATCCATTTTTACTTTTAATTATTTTTTCAAAATATTTATTTCAATCCGCTGAATATCTCAGGCAAGTGATGGCATCCAAGAGTTGATTATGGTCTGGATAAGTTAATTAATGTCTAATTAATAATTTAGATAACATTTCGATAACAAACAAAGACCTGCAATAGGCAGATTTAGCTCTTGCATGATGTATGTTTAATGACCACGTTTAGTATAATATTCACAACTTTATGGGGGGTTGTATGGCTGAATGGTAAGCACGTGAGCGCTGTATCATAAAGTCTGTCATTGAGTCAACTGGCGTGGTTTCAATTCCCCTGCTATACGTGACAAGGAGTAGGGTCTCCTGTCAAACCTCGTGGGTTTTCTCCGGGTCCTCCGGTTCCCCCCCCACTGCTAAAGACCCCTACGCGCAAGCGAATTATGGAAATAAAATTGAATCATATGTTAGTCCCGAAATGACCTAGTTTGTGTCGAGTGGACGTTAACCCCCCCCCCCCCGCCCCCTCTCTCTCTCTCTCTCTCTCTCTCTCTCTCTCTCACACACAACTTCATGGATTTACTACTTCTTGGTTTATTGCGTTTAGATTAGTCACATGTGTAACAGATAATTTCATATACGTAAAAGATTCGAAGATTTCACCTGAAAGTCTCATTCTAGAAATTGTTGGCAAGTTTACAAAATATTAAAATTCCTACAGGAATAGGAGCACTAAAATGTGTATGCCGTAAGCGCAGAATTAGCTTTGACGACGCTGTAGTAATAGCAGGGGTTGTCTTCGGTGACTCTCTAGTAATAGCACGGGTTGGCTTCGATGACGCTCTAGTAATAGCACGGGTTGGCTTCGGTGACGCTCTAGTAATAGCACGGGATGGCTTCGATGACGCTCTAGTAATAGCACGGGTTGGCGTTGGTGACGCTATAGTAAAAGCACGGGTTGGCCTCGGTGACGCTCCTGTAATAGGTTGGCTTCGGTGACGCTCCAGTAATAGCACGGGATGGCTTCGGTGACGCTCTAGTAATAGCTTCGATCACTGGTAATAGCGCCATTTAGCTTCGACGTCGCTTTAGTAAAAACGCAACGCGAGTGAGCTTCGAAAATTAGACTTGACGTACAGGTCGGCGAGGGGTAGGCGAGGGGTTGGCGAGGAGGTGGGAGTGGCCGAAGTGGCAGGAGGCCAATCTGTTTATTAAAGAAACGTCTATAGATAGAAATGTACTTACTGGGACAGATAAATATCCACTTCTATTTAAAAGTTTTAAATCTGTTTGTATTTCATAAATCTCCATATCCTGGATTATTGACTGCGTTAATCCGTCTTGTGGATTAACTAATCTAAATCCAGTTAGATTAACATAATTATGTCTGAAATCTTCCATATCTAATGATTCTATATCCTGGAAAGAAAACACAACAATCATTAACTACTTAACTGGCCCGCCACAAATCATGTTGAAGGAAAGAACAGAAACATGCTACTGTGACTTAACAGAAATTGTCTTTTAAAACAACAGAATCTAATTTACAGAAACAAAAATCCGGTAAATCTGCTGCCAGGATTTTTCTAGTTTTTTTTACAGAATTATTTTTTTGCAGTGCAGGTAACTGGGCTGATGAAGACGGGCAGACGCCATACAGTGTGAGAGAGGGCAGTTGGGGGTTTAACGTCCACTCGGCACAAACTAGGTTATTTCGTTACAAACATAAGGTCCAATTTATTTCAATAATTCGCTTGCGCGTAGGGTTCTCTAGCAGTGGGAGGAAACCAGAGGACCCCGAGAAAACCCACGAGGTTGGACAGGCGACCCTACTACTTTTCATGTACAAGTGGGGATTCGAAACCATGCCAGTTTACTCAATGACGTAAAAAATTTATATAACATTTCAGGCCCAAAGAGAGAAATGGGGTTTAACGTCCACTCGACACAAACTAGGTTATTCGGTCCTAACATAAGTTCCAATTTATTTCAATAATTCGCTTGCGCGTAGGGGTCTCTAGCAGTGGGAGGAAACCAGAGGACCCCGAGAAAACCCACGAGGTTGGACAGGCGAACCTACTCCTTGTCACGTACAACCGGGGATTCGAAACCACGCCAGTTGACTAAATGACAGGCCTTATGATACAGCGCGAACGAGCTAACCATTCTGCCATCCACCCCCCCCCCCCCCCAATATTACACAGACTGAGGATATTCCCAAAAGACTAAATGAAAAATATGTTGATTGTTTTAGCCGCCATGTTAAAATAGAAACAAAAAACACTTACTAAATTACTAATAATATAATGATGGTACGGGTCTATCATTCCTTCTTGTAACGCCTGCAATTTAAATGAAACAATTAAAATATTTCAGACTGCTTGTCCCGGCGGACATTTCAGACTGCTATTCTACTTGTTCCGAACATTCCAGACTGCTAAATCTACTTGTCCAGGACATTTCAGACTGCTTAATATACCTGTGACGGACATTGTCATGGCTCCAAGTTCATAAGAATTTACCGAACTTTCAATCACTGTTTATGAGAAATATCTTTAATCCAGAAACACAAAACTTTGCACATAGTTTCCCATTGATGTATTCGATACATTAAAACAACAAAAAGAGTTTTATCAAGGACAATATTTTAGTTAAAATAAGGCGAACAATTTTGAGTAGTAGGGACAATAACACTCTTGCTGGCTTGACAGCTCCAGAAAATAAAAAAAATAGCCTTATTCTAAGTACTAGATGTGTTAGTGTCCTACCTGTTGTGTAAATTATCCATTAAATCCTATTTTACTTGTCCAGAGGTTTCAAAAATATTTTTAAATCTAAGTCACATTTGAAAAGCTTTACGTCAGGCTTTTCAAATCATTTAGTTGAATTTTTCCGATTTTTTAAATTAGGTGTGTTAAGATGAAATTTGTATCATCAATTAATTGGAATATTGTAAAATAGTACAATTTGTTGACCAGAATAAAGATTGGGACATATCATTCAGTTACAACAAGAGTGGTATTGAGCCTTTAAGTCTGAAAATGCTTTGGGAACTCGGGGCCTGGACATTTATTACTAGAAAACGCCTGGTAGTATTACGTCCTATTGATGGACTAGGTCTTGTACTCACCATTTTAAGTAATAAACCCGTGTCATCAATAGAAAGATCAATCAGTATATTTGTCCATTTTTTCTCTTTACATTCTTTTAAAACAGTTCGCATATTGCCCGCGTCAACTTGGCGTACCATTATTTCAAACGAGGGGTCGTAACGACCCCTTATCACAGACTGAACTTTTAATAAATCTGAAAATAAAGAGAAAACAACAATATACACATCTGTACTAGTTGTTATCAGTAATTTCAAGCTGGTTAATTGCAATTGATTTCGTTTCGTTTCGTTTGTATTCTTTATTGTGGGGGCAACTGTAAATCACCGATCGAAATAGCATCTGTGATTTAACATGATTCATAATCAAGGAAAGGGTGACAAACATTTTTCCTAGAGCCCAGGGCACAAGGGCGATGGTTTCTCCCAAAATGTGAGGCAACCAACAAAGCAATCTGTTTCACACAGGATTACGAAAGTCTTCTAATTTCTCTGTAAAAGATGACTTCCTTCAACACATGACGTCATATCTCGCGGTGTCAATCATAAGCTCAATGGCGCGTGCATTATTTACATAAGACGTTACTGATTCGAGCAGAATGGCGCCTTTTACTCATTTTAATACCCATTTACACTAAAAAGGAAATAATTTTTACCTACAAATACGTCAAACGTCTTTATTGATTTTTCTAATACATAAAATAAAATGTTTTAGAATTTGATTTGTTGGAGGAAAAAAAGTTAATATTTCTGGCTCATTAAGTCGCATCGATGTCATCCTTATCAGTAATTGTAGCGGCCGAGCGAAAATTCACTGCTGATTAGTGTGCCAACAAAGCTGTCGAAATCAAGCACATTATAAGTGTGCGTGCAAACAACGTGCAGGCGACAGATCGGGGATTGCCACCGCTGATTGGTCAATGAAAACGAGATTATGTGATGACACATAGGCCTACACAGCGATTTGTGAATTATTTCAGAGCGACGAGAACTGGCGGCAAAAGTCGATATCGGCTGTCGTCGCAATAATGTGATGAGATTACGGGCAATATTTATACCAATATGGATGCATTTAAAACCGTTTACCAACAGCTAGGTTTAACACCAAATTGCTTAGTTGTCGGACAATTCTGATGAATACGCATGCAATTGTTCACTTCCTCACTTCCAACCAATTGAAATGTTTTGTTGGTATATTGTGTGATTATCCACGACGGCTAAATCTATTTGTTAAGGCCAGCTGAATTTTTGTCAAGGTCGTTGAGATTTAAATAAGGTTAGGGCATGTGATTGTGAGATTGTAGGTTAGGGTTCTGGTAAACATGGGCGGGGTCTATGTCCAGGGTTAGGTTTAAGAATTTGGGGGAGAGGTTAAGTCTCCACATAAGCACTGACCTAGGATGATGACCCAGTCGACAGGTGGTATATGTAAACTTACGACAGTATAGGACACCACGTGAGTAAATGACATGCTACACATGCATTACCCCGAGATTCAAATTAGAAAGACAGTTTAAAACGGACCTAGATTAGTCCTGGTCATCCAGTTTTAATCATTGAGTCTCACAGGGATTACCAGAGTGGTTTCCCTTTGTTAGTGGTGCAGGATGGGTGTTCGGATGGTACGAAAAAACCGAGGTCCCTTGTACACATCGGTATGTACGTAAAAGAACCCTTGACCGTTGTAATTTAAAATAGGCCATAATGCCGCTGCCCGGGTAAAATTTCACTCACTTCTCCGAAAAACACAAAATAGCACGACGGTTTGCAGACGCGTCTAATTGTGTCCCAATCATACGGTTTTAATTATCAGTCTGATTATAACACAGATCCTATTTCGTTTCGTTTTTATAGTTCAAAATTTTGTTTTACTTGTCTTTACTCCACTAGGATCTGGAAGAGTTGTTATATAGCCCGTGTTCTGGATGATGTGAGGGCTTAGCGAATGAAACAGTATATTGCAGCGAGTTCTTGACACATCAACACTGATTGGTTAATCAAATGTCTGACGTCATAGAGTCAAAAGCCGCGCATGACCACTGACGAGAACTCCCACTACAACTGTTCAGATCTTCATGTAGTAGAGGCCATCGAAAGGTAATATAGATCTGGACCCTGTTTCTCGAAATCTTAACTAAAGATAAAATACAAATTTTAGTAGATACTTAAATTTCGATTGGCTACGCACTAAAATCAATCTAATATTATCCAATCAAATTACTAAAATTTGGATTTTATCTTAGTTAAAATTTCGTGAAACAGGCCCCTGTATTTTAATCCGATTGTTTTAATTTATCACAGTACACTCACCATCTTTGGTACCATATAACACAAGCATTTGTCTCCATCCATAATATCTGATGACGTCAGTAAATGCTTTACTTAATGTCTCTATATCCGGGTATAGGTTGATTGACAGGCCGGGGGCGGGGTAAGCGATGGTGTCCATTCTAATTTCGAGATGAGGAATTTGTAAGGAGGCACACAATGAATTAACAAAACCTGCTAAATTACTATTTCTGGGTCCTAACACAGATACGGTATTTAATTCCACTTGATAACAAACTGAAAGTAGAAGAAAAAAATTCATATTATTAGTACATGTACATAATGGATACTCTAACCTCGTGGGTTTTCTCTGGGTCCTCGAGTTTCCTCCCACAGCTAAAGATTCCTACGTGAAAGCGAATTATTGAAATAAAATTAAACCTTATGTTAGTCCCGAAATGACCTAGTTTGTGTCGAGTGTACGTTTACCTCTCTCTCTCTCTCCGTATATTCGTATACACAAGCCCATCAGACAACTCTGAATTTCGATAGGGTTAAATTGAACAAAACCAGCAAGAGTGCAGAGTTGTGTTAAGAACAAACAGACGGACGGGGTAGACGACACGACAGAGCCACATAAAACATATATCCTCACCAGAATGGACTTAAATCAGTGTCTAAGTGAATATCATCAATTTTGATTTGATCATTAGCAACCATATTGGATCAATCAAATATGGCGCCTCTATTTGTATTAAATATCCTTTAATTTGGATAACAAATGTTTAATGTAAATGACATGGGACCATATTTTATGTCTACACAAAAGCGAAAGAAAGACTGGACAGTTTCTTACATGCCTAGTCTATGTATAATACAGATTCAAACACGTGCTGCCACCACACAATTGATATTAAAGGAAATTGCTTTTTTTTTATTGCCTTTCTATTTAATAAAATATTAAAGGTCAAGTGGCGATAGTTTGTTTTCAAGAAATAGACCCAAATCAAAATTTAAACAATGTTATTTGGAATGACTGACATTCCTTTTCTTGCAAATTCAAACTTTGTAGGGAATCTCTTTTTTATATTTTTTACTACAAATTCCCAACACAAAATACACCTTTTATACTGGTGTTACCTTAAAGATACATTATGGGACATTAGATAAAGAGCTGGCAGTTCTCACTATAATAGTTAAAATATAGATAATGTAAAGGGAATATGCTGAAAATTTAGCGATTGAAGTTTGGACCTAGCGTCGATCATCATTACTAAAGTCGGTACGATATAAAACATAGTCTCGGTTATCCATTTAATGATTTAATCATGTATGAAAGTTTAAAATTGCTGGACCTATATCTTGGATATGAGTGAAAATAGAGATTGTCTATTATAATGGATTTTGTTTTTTGTTTAATTGTTGATTTGTATTCTGTTTTTGTTGAACTTATAACGGCTATTGACAAAGTCAATGTTGAAACAATAAGTCAGAATTGGTGTTTACATCTGTTAAAAAGCCGACTTTCTCTTACATGTAAGCACAGATAAAATAGGACTATATCTTTACACAGATAGTAAAGTTTTCAATGGACGCTAAACCTTATTCCCTCATTCCAGAGTGGTTTCCCCTTGTTAGTGATGCAGGATGGAGGGCCTGATACGGACAGCTGTCTAGTCGTTTGGATGGGCGTGCATGGAAAATATCGCTTGGCAGTTGGAATTGGATATAAGAGTAGGCCATAGTGCCGCAGCTCTGGCAAAATGTCGATCATTGCGTATGCCCGTCTTCATTAACCCAGTTGGAGCAGAACCGTGGGGCGTTAAACCCCATTTCATTTATCCTCTTCAGTTAAACGTGGCCATTCTGCATGCACCAAGTCTTCAGCGTAGGAAAACACGTTGTTTGTTACGTTTCGTAAAAAAAAAAACAATTTTAAATAAGATAAAATCCAAATTTTAGTTATTTGATTGGTTAATATTAGATTGATTTTAGTGCTTAGCCAATCAAAATTGAAGTATCTACTAAAATTTGGATTTTATCTTTAGTTAAGATTTCGAGAAACAGGGCCCAGTTCAATATTTTATTTTGTCCTAAATCAAAGAGACTTAGTTCCTTTAAACAGAATTGAAACAAGCTTTTGTCTAATATCAACCATTATTGAGATTGATATATATGGTTTTATCAACTGGATCAATACGTCTACACATATATCATATAAAATCATAGTCTCGCTCCACCAGAGACATCGGATCAATTTCAAACAAACGAAGAGTCTGGTAGAGCGAATATAATCTAAGCGATCGTATCAAAGATGGCCGCCGTCATTTATTGTCACGTAACTAAAGTGATTTGATAGTAGTGGAATAAATTTGACGTAAGGGTCAAAGGTCTTCGTTCAATAAGGATATTAGTTTGTTCTGGAACAGACAATGCAACACAATAGCCTCCATCTATTGTTCAAGCATCGAAAACTTTCTGTCAGGCACAGCCGCCATCTCTTGATTGAGTGGTTTTGTGTCTGTTTCAATAATAACAAACAACATGTACTCCTACGCGAAGGATTTGGTGCATGCAACTCAGGGGAAATGAGATGAAATAGGGTTTAACGTCTTACTGTTCTGCTCCTGACCAGGCTAATAAAGACGGGCATACGCCATTCAGTGTGCTTTGAGGGGAATTTTGCCCGGACAGCGGCACTACAGTCTACTCTTACATCGAATTCTAACTGCCAAGGGATCTTTTACGTGCTCGCCAATGTGTACGCGGAACCTCGGTTTTTCATCCCACCCGAACGACTACACGTTGCCCACTGTTCTGTATCACTGACAAGAGGGGATCAAGCCGGAAAATCTGGATGAAATTTCTCGGCCCAATTGCAGGGATCGAACACCCTACCTCCAGGTTAGCGAGCCAGCACCTTACCCGCCTAGCCACCGTGGCTCCCATAACATCCAATAACACTTCACTATTTGCATTAATACATGGTACTATTGGTTTTCTTTGCTTACACGTACAACGCAATAATAATAAATAACCTGTACTCCGACGTCAGTGGAGCTGACATGGTTTCGATTCCTCGGTTGTACGTGCCTGCCTGACCAACCTCGTGGGTTTTCTTCGGGTCCTCCGGTTTCCTCTTGATGCTAAATACCCCTATGTACAAGCGAATTATTGAAATAAAATTGAAAGAAATGTTGGCTCCGAAATGACCAAGTTTGTGTTGTGTGTTGAGTAGACGTTAAACCCCATCTCTCTCCCTCCCCCTCCCTCCCACCCTCTCTCTCTCTCTCTCTCTCCTACGGCAGTGACCTCACACATGCATTTTTTACTTGAGGAGAATACGGGTTAGCGTCCATTAAAGCCTTTACTATACATTTACTTAGATTTTCGTTGGTTACACGAACAATGTTTGTACGTAGATGGTACAGGCGCTTTGCTTAGACCCGAAAACTGATCATGAAGACATTTCCTCTACGACAATCAAAATTAAAACCAGACATGATAAAAAAAATATCAAATTGTAATTAGTTTGCGATTCCACAAACACTTCTTCAAATTTCTACAACTATCTATACAAGGGGTCTGATCTTTTTCATCCATGACCAGATCAGCTAGGTATACCTTTCGTGGGACTTTGTAATGTATTTCTGAATTATGTTTTTGATGTCCATTTGAAGTGATCTTTTACGTGCACGCCACTTATTAGACATAAATGAAATGAGACGAATTAGGGTTTAACCCTTAACCGGTCAACGTCATTTTACGTGCACGCCACTGAATACACATGAAGGAAATGAGACGAAATGGGGTTTAACGTGCTTTTTTTTTCTTTTTTGTCTCTTGTTTTTTATTAGAATCATTCAACTTATTTTCCTTGACTAATTTACCACGACATACTACCCCACCCCACCCCCACTACCCCACCTCCAACAAAAACAAAAACGTAAAATTCCACCCTTCGTCCACGCCTCGTCCACGCCTCGTCCAGACCACAGGAAAGGTTTATTAAAGAAAAAGAGAGAACGGGCAAACACACCCTATAAAGAGTAAAGGAATGTGTTTGATGTATTTGGTTTTTCGAGTTACATTTCTTCTATCGTTCCAACACGAAAAATACTACCTGGTACCTACCCCAACCCCTCGTCCCCGCCTCGTCCGGAAAACACAGAAAAGGTTTATTAAAGAAAAAGAGAGAAAGTGCAAAACATACTATAGGATGAGTAAAGGAATAATGTTTGATGTATTCGGACATTTTCGCGTTACATTTCCTCTATCGTTCCAGCACGCTTTATCAAAATATGTTTTTTTCATCATTGTGTTGTCCTCTATACGAAATTGTACGAAATTATAGAGTCAAAAACCAAAATATGCTGTTATTCGAAAGTCAAAACAGTAGTACATATCTCCTTTCCTGCAAATTACCTTGCCGCCTCTTTTTTTCCAGAGGCCTAGGAGATAAAAGGAGATTGGAAAGAGTTAATAATCATGTTATTTTATTGCTTCGATAATAATGTTACTTTGAATCGATAGTTTAAACTGTTTTCAAGATATAAATGGTTGACAACATCGGTTAACTTCAACCATTAAGCTATATAATGCGAAGAACAGACCACTTTGATGTGTGCACGTACAGATCTCCCGTCAAAAGGCAACACCTAGTAACTCACGTTTTTACAAAGGGAAACTTAATGAAAGAATATTAAACCCCAGCTTATCCATTGATTTGACTATTGAGTTACTATGTTTTTCTGTGGCATACTAGTCAAATGAATGAAGTTGCTCGGTTGTGTCATGGGTGTAACTGCTTACAAAATCAAAAGATCGGAATGTCTAGTACAACAACAGAAAGCACATACCCTAGTACATGTAACTATAAATTTGGTCATAATTTAATATAAAAAAAAGTAAGTTACTAGGTTTTGACTTTTGACGGGAGAGATAATGTATTATTATTCAAACGTATTAGATTCAATAGATTCTCGGTATCTTAGTTTTTGCAGAAAATGTGAAAGGCTAAGAGAAATATACTGCATTTACAGCACGTTAAAATATTTAGTAAACAAAATTTAACGTCCTACTGGGCTAATAAAGACAAGTTTGCGCCATATAGTGTGCTATGAGGGACATTTTACCCGGACAGCGGCGCTACGACCTACTCTTAATTCGAATTTCAACTGTCAGCGGTTATTTTGATGTGCCCCAGAGAGAGCGAGAGAGAGAGAGAGAGAGATGGGGTTTAACGTCCACTCGACACAAACTATGTCATTTCGGGACTAACATATGGTACAATTTTA